ATTTTTTTACATATTATTATAATTCTATTTGTTGTTGATTAATAAAATTGATAGCAAAGATCTATTACTACTAAGTATGATCATAGATTTCTATTTGAATCATTTTTTCCATATATATTCCCCTATCCCGACTTTTATTCTGCTAGAGCGCTCCTTCATCTCATGGATGGAATGCTCGAAGCAGGCGGAACTATTACATTTTTAAAAATACAGATCTAAATCTAGGTCTAGATTAGATCTACATCACTGTCAATGACTGGGGGGGGGGGGAGGTGAGAATAGCGGGTCGTGAGTTATTCCATGGTGAGATTATGATTTTGGCCGAGTAAAAAACACAAAAAATGGAGTCAGATAACAGGACGTTCTGGAGAGATACTAATCTAGTTTCTAGATGTTTGATAGAAGGGTCGGGAAGATTGAAGAATACCGGACCACTCATACATTATTGCGCGAGAAAGTGGGGCGGGTGGTTGGGGTGGAGGAGGGGGAGGAGGGGGGGGTTCAGGGGGGTCTCCCCCCTGACAAAATATTAATGAATAGATCTACCGGTCCGAGATTCTCCATTGAAAGATATTAAAAACGGGGAAATTATGAATTCCTAAGGTTGAGACATAGGCAAAGTCAGTCCGCTGGTCCGGTATTCTTCAATCTTACCGAAGGGTCCACCATCCACAGTATGCGTGCGGGAGTGACAGTAGAGTCTTCAGACCAAGGCCAAGAGCAGACAGTTGAGCAGGGACAATAATAGGTGCTTTTTCGGTAGTTCCCACCCCCCTTATTTGAGCCTGACCTAGATCTACATCTAGATCAATACGTTTGATTCGCGGCGAGCTCAGATATCAAACCTAACAACTGCAAAACATTAAATTGTGGTAAAATTCAGGGGGGTATGCCCCCCTGAAACCCCCCAAACTTATTTTCATTAAGTCAACCCCCATATTCTTGGGGCCAAAACCCGTGAATAACAATTGCGGGGTGGGAACTACCGAAAAAGCGCCCAATAATAAAATGGTAGTGTCCATTGCCACCGAGTAAATTGGAGCTCTTTTGCGTTGGTGGGTAGATCTAGCTTATTGTGCTCGAGTGCTTGGTGTGTGCGTCCGCCTCTCTGTCCCTCTGTGTGTGTGTGTGTGTGTGTGTGTGTGTGTGTGTGTGTGTGTGTGTGTGTATCTCTTTTCCTGACCCCCGTCCCCCGATTTATGTTCCCCGATATAACGTGAATTTCTGCTTGAGTTTTTGTATGCGTTTGTGACCTTCTACTTCTAGAATTACCTGTGTTGGTTCTACACCAAAGTGTAGGCTAAGGTTAGCCTAGATCTAGATTCTTAGGCCTACGTCTAATTGAAAACACGCCAAGTTGGTACCGTAGCTCTAGACGAGATGCTCGTCCAATGAAATTAGTTGAGAACAAATTGACCCATTAGACACACATTATGTATTGCTAAAGGCTAAAGATAGATTATAATAATCTAGATGTAGATTGTCACTCGGTGGCAATTGACGCAAAATGGTACTTTGAGTACAGACCCAGGGACAGACGAGTGAGGCTAACTCACTAATCTAGACTGTTGGGCCTACGGTGCGTGTTATCTGCACTAGCTGGAAAGGTCAAGGCAGTTCATTCTTACCTAAAACTTATTTGGTGCGCAAATAAACAAGCAGTTTGCATTCCCGTGTCTTCACTCCAAATCGAATACTTCAAAGTGCCTGAGATCTATCCTGCATAAAATAAACAAGACCTTTTCAGTGGAAGCCACCATTAGCCACGAATAGATCTAAACAAAGTTAGGCCTTGATTCTATGTCAAGAGAAACAGAAAAATCGCAACCTTTTCTTCTTTACTCTGTACTGATATGAGTCTGGCCTTGAACTTGGGATTTGGGAACAAGTATCGCAACTTTCTACTTCAATACTTTTACGGTGTCGAAAGTATTAAAAAAGACCCCTTGAAAAATGTTCCGTACTTTATGCATAGAGCTATATAAATTTCAAACGAAAAGCTGAAAACATTAGGGAAATTCCATAAGTGACGAACTGAAAATCAGAAGACCTTTGTACTGTTATCCACGCATGACTTTACAATGGGATAGCAGTCAACTTTGCCATATTTATTTAGCAGATGTAGACATACTGTATTTTCACTGAATGGGGAATTTCTCTCTCTCTCTCTCTCTCTCTCTCTCTCTCTCTCTCTCTCTCTCTCTCTCTCTCTCTCTCTCTCTCTCTCTCTCTCTGTGTGTGTGTGTGCGTGAGCGTATGTATGAAAGTTGTAGAAGAAGAGGGCCATCTCCTGATTCATATATTCTTATTTTATCTTGTTCGATTCATTTATTTTATTCATCATAAATTATTTAATTAATTTTTCAATTTATTAATTTCATTTCATTTATTTATTTATTTATTTATTTATTCATCTTATTTATTTGTTAGTGTTTTACGGCATTCACAACTGCATAAGGCCATGATATCCATTAAATATTTTCAGTTTGGAATTAATTTTGAACTTTTCTGAAGCCTACTCTTATCAATTTTGGACCACCAATGGCTCTTTAATAGCTCAACTTGCAAAGGGGGCCTCCGAGATTTTTTCGTCATTATCTGAGAAGGCTCTGCTCTCTTTTTCGCCATTATCTGAGAAAGCTAGGTGGTAGATCCAACCTACACTAAGATCAGGAGGACGCCTGAAATAAAGCAGTAAGAAGAAGCCATGGAGTAGCAGTGGAAAGAGTAAGGTACCCAGAGGGAAAGGCCAAGGGACAACAAAGGGCAGCCTTTGAAATTAAAGTAAATTATAACGTTCCTGTCCATACAAGTTTGGGACATATATCCACTACTGTTTATACCTCTCATGATTAGAATTCATGATAACAAAAGCTTCTTTCTGGATGAAAATGACAAAAATAATGTTCTTTTACTTTATATACATACACTTGCTGTATCATGCTTTGAAAGTGTCTGTGAAGACGAGTCAGAGAGAAAAGGAAAGAGGGGGACAGGGAGATGAGTTTGAATCTGTATGATAATTTTTAGGGTACGTGTCATTGGAGAAAAAGTGGAGAGTCAAAAAAGAGGGAGAGCTGTAGACAGAAGACAAATAAAAGCCAAAAACTCACAAAACTACAAAGTTTGAAAGAACTCAGCCTTTTATTAAAGAACGAATTAATTACACAACATACTGTACACTACATTTTTTTAGAACATGAAGAACAGCCAAAAAATATGTACATATCACAGGAATTGTAAAGAAAAAATGCATTAAAACCCTGGTAAACCTTGTCTCAGCAAATGTTTCATTATTACACACAAACGGTCACAAGCAAAGTCTTATAAGAAATCTTAACCAGTAACCTTCCAGGCAGATAAACGCACCACTTTAGAAAAGAGAAAGGCGCTGATTTGGCAAGCAGTGGTGTTTGTGATCATTATGATTACAAGTACAAGGGGCCTGCTATTATTTTAGTTGAGCAGATTAGATCTCAATAATTCTGAGTATGTCATCATCATCATCATCATCATCATCATCATCATCATCATCATCATCAAAATCATCATCATCATCATCATCATCATCATCATCATCATCATCATCATCATCATCAATGACAAAACAACTCTCCTTTTTCTTGTTGTGTTTTTCTTGAAACATAACAATTTGCACCATGTCAACACACGTAACCTATATACATCAGCACAAAAATAAGGACACAGGACAAAACAATTCTAAAGTATGGACACACTTACAGCACACCATAAAGGGAACTGGAAAACAAACATCAAAAACTATTTATAGTACATCTGTTGAGAACAAATTTACAAAGAACAACATCGAGCACTACATCCCACAGGAGGAGAAAACTCTCCACTGACCGGACTACTCTATTACAATCACAAATAATCAAAAGCACAACACCAAAAGTCACATCTACCTAACGAGATATCTCCATAAGATGCTTGCAACTTACAGGAGAAGAATGTTCCAAAATTTTAACACTGAGGTTACAAAAATGGTTACACGCAACTCCCACTTTTGTAAAATGTTGCAATGTTGATCACTGAATAAGACAGGATATACTTGATTTCGCAGTAATACTGAAAATAGTAAGTCCACACTTTATATGACCATGCATGGACGTGACAGCCTTAACATTCAAGACTGGGCACGACTGACATAACTCCGGTTCACAATGCAGTGCACCATTTAACTCTATTTGAAACCAAATGAAGGACAAGGAGGGAAAAGTTGTGCTCTCAACTATAGTGAGATTTGCATTTTGTCTTTATTTGCCCAGGTATGGTGTGTCCTAGAGCAGCAAAGTTTTTCATAGAGAGCTAAGGGTGGTGGCCGTGACAATGTCCAGTCTAGGATATTTAATAGTTCAAGTCTGTGTCACCATGTGTGTGTGTGTGCATTAAGTTAACTCACTTCAGCTATTTTTCACCCAACAACCATTGCAGCCTGACAGTTTTGGGGTATATTGAATCGTTAACCACAAAAATAACTGTGAAAGCTATAATAATTTTTTTAATATATACAACGGAAGGAAATATGCTCTCACAGAAAAAGAAAACTGCATCTAATTTGTCTGAATAGTTTTTATCTTATCAATACAGTGGAACTCAGATTCAACAAGCTCAGATTCGACGAGAACTCGGATTCAACGAAAGGAGATGGATTCCGTAGGGTTTTTTTCTTCTTTAAAATCAATGATAATAACTTGGATTTAACGAACACTTAAATCTGCAAGCTCGTATTCAGCGAGGTCGTTTCCAGTGTGAACAGGCCCCACAGACGTGGCTTCACTAATTTTTCTCCCACAACGAACTTTATCTGTTCCCATCGTGAACCATTACTCACTTAGCCGATTGCATGCGACCAATCAATGGCCTTCTTTCATACCAACACATGCGTAGTTGGCAAGCCCACGAGCCTACTCTAACATTTGCTAGGGCCGGATAGGCGGCCTGCACATGTGTGACTGTGTGTGCGTGTCCGGGTGGGCATCATCGGTGCGAGCGTGGAACGTCGCAGATACAAACATGTCAGTCTTTTTTCCACCAGGCAACTGATCAATATTACAATGATAAGTTAGTCTTGACGTCGATCTGCATAATGAATTGTGAGCTCGTCTATGGAATCAAAAGTTGCCGTATGCTAGCTCTACACTGCAACACAACTTTTTGGCAAACAATTGAGATGACACAGGCCTGCATTTGAATGAATCAGTCTTTTTTTGTAACCGGAAAACATCGGAGACATTGATCGATAAAGCGCACCCCATAAATACATGGGATTCGGCCACTGGGCTGGCAGAGCAACCTGTAAATACACGGCAATAGGCTCAAGTGAGTTAATGAATAAGTAGAATAGTGAATGTATCATGACAACAAAGTAGTGAAAGGAATATCGCCGTACAATCTTCAAAAATAAATATTCCCATCTTTCAGCCCTTCACTCCAAAGTCATCTGCAAACTTTTCCAGGTTGCTGAGGTCCTGGCTGTTGACAGATGGCTTCGTGTTCCCCACAGCAGCCAACATGTCCTCCTGGAATAGCACACAGACAAGAATATTGCATTGTTTTCATTTTGTACTATGAAAAATATTTTATAACAAAGTCTAAGTGTTTTTACTCCCCCATCAACACAATTTGATGGCATCGTGGTGAAATCAGGCGCTCGTCAAAATAATGAAATCGAAGAAAAAGGCCTTTTTCCTCCAGTTGGCAATTTTTTTCGAATTTTTGTTTTTTGGCTCAACACCTTTTATGTCAATATAAAAATACATTTTACTCAAAAATGTTGATTAATAATGGCACAAGATATGTAAATTTTCAGTTTTCAAGGACTCTCAAGCTATAAACGTTTCCAGTCTTTGGTGGCCATTTTCTCGCAAATTTTACCTAAGAAAACAGGCTACCCCCCTACTTTTTTAAATCGCAAATATCTCGACTTCTATTAACATAGAAGGGTATTTTTTTTCACTGACAGTGAAAGACAAATAAACAAACTTTAAGATTATACCAATAACTCCATATGCCAAAAAGTTGATGAGCGCCTGATTCCACCACGTCGTGACACATTTGGATAATTTAGGAGGCAGGCTTCTACAGAGTCAGTCAGGGACAAAATAGGCTGAGAGGGATACAACACCCCAGCAGAAAGACTGAGAACCTTAATAGGAATTCTCCCCATTCGGGAATAGAACAGGGGCCTCCTGCATACGACGGAAAAGCACCTAACCACTACACCACAGATGCTGGTAAGTTTGTATTTTTGCTGGGTGTCCCTTACATCCATGTTTTGTGGTCACCTATGGCTACTCAGAATCACCAAAACAACAAGTACATTCCTGACGCACTGAGGGGGCTCTCGCTGCATAGAGGTTAAGGTGTTCTCCTCTCATTCAAAGGTCGCGGGTTCAAATCCGGGTAGCGACCGAAAAATGTTTTTCTCTAAAATTGTCTCCTTTCACCTCCTTTCCTGCTCTCTAGCAATGTTCTGTAGTCTGCTTTCGTTTCCATTTTCTACCCTCACCCCCTCACCTCCTTTGCCCCCTCCTCTGGGCTTCTGACTCTTTCTACAGCATTTTTCCTCCTACTCCTTGGCCCCTTCTTACTGCTGTCTTTCAGCCACACCCGTGATCTTCTGGTAGGAAAGATCTACACCTAGCATTCTTGGACAAGGGCGAAAAATCTCGGAGGCCCCGTCAGCAAGTTGCGCCCGTTAAAAATCCCTTAGAGGTCTAAAATCGATAAGAGTAGGCTTCAGCCGCTACCAAAGCAAAATTCAAAATTTCCTACCAACTGAAAATGTTTAACGTGTCCCGCACGCTCGTATGACCTTATGCAGTTGCGAGCGTCGTAAAACACAGATGGAACAGTCTGCTTTTCAAAACTTTCACCCACTGTCATAAGATCCATTGCGATCAAAACAGAAAGCTGAAAATTTGCGCGAAACAAATTATTTCACCCACACTTCATTATTGCACATTTGTGTGAACGTACAGAATAGCAAGTAGCAAGCTAGTTCAGCACATTTGATTGACAGCTTAAGACGTGAATCATTCTTAATTGTATCAAAATAAGAACTATATGATGTATAAAAAAGAAGTCTATCAGACTTCATGGTTAAGAACAAAGTGCACAGTGAGCCCACACTCGAGCACTTCAGAATGATATAATTGTAGTCCACTTCAGTTTGACACGTTGGCTTCTAAACCTACTGACGTACTGACAAATAGAGATATACTCTCTCAGATAGGGTGGCAGTATAAAATCCATAATCAAAACTTAAAAAACACCCAGGTACTTCAATATTTCAGAAAAGAGTACAAAATGTCTCGAAAAGAACACAAAATATCTAGAAAAGAGTATGAAATGTAAAAAATTTATTCCAACACTAAACTAAAGGCACTAGACACTCAGACAGGTATTCAATTCTTTCTTTCTTCTCAACATGTTAAACATTCCACTTTCTTACCATTGTTACTTGTGGTTCTAGAAGTTTCTCCGTGGGCACATCCACCCAGCTCATTTCTAATGCTCCCCTGGAAGAACTTGAGCAAGGGGTCAGAAGGTCAGAATCAGTAACTTCAGGATTTTCCCGTGAGGGCCCCGTCACCTTGAAAAAAAAGAAAAGAAAATTGTAAAAAAGAAATTTTTAACAAGAAGAAAAAAACTCGAAACATGAAATATCTATGAATACTGTGAAATCGACCTAAAAATCAAATTCAAAAGAAACATTTTTATTCTTATTTATTTTTTCAGCAAATATGAAACCTTAGGGTTAGGGCATTTTATTCGCTATTTTCAATATATGTGAGACATTTGGGTGAAATCAGGGACTTGTCAAAATAATGAAATCAAAGAAAGCGACATTATTCTCAGTCCATTTTTTTAAGTCGTCGGGAATAGTCAGTTCCCCATATATCCATCTCTATTTTGGTTTATTCCTCTATGTTCCATTCAACCCCACAATCCCCTGTCATCCAATCAGTCATACCATTCGCTTTTCCACTGGTCAACGCCTTGTCTACACCAGTTTACACTCTGTCTACACCAGTCTACACTATGTCTACACTATTTCTACTTGTTTTATTTGTTTAAGTAAGTGTTTTATGGCACTCGCAACAGCATAAGGTCATTTGAGCGCCAGAAGAATAGAGGTGTTACTAGAGAGAAACAAATATAAAAAAGAAGAAGGGGAGAAAAGGATGATAGATGTTTGATAGGAAAGAAGAAGCAAACCATACCAGAGCACCCGCCAACCACCCATACTATTTCTACACTCTGTCTACACTCTGTCTCCACCAGTCTACACTCTGTCCGCACCAGTCCACACTTTGTCTCTACTCTGTCTCCACTCTGTCTCTGTCTCCACTCTGTCCACACTATGTCTCCACTCTGTCTCTCTCTCCATTATGTCTACACTCTGTCTCCACTCTGTTCATACTCTGTCTCCATTCTGTCCAAACTCTGTCTCCACTATATCTACACTCTGTCTACACCAGTCTCCATTCCGTCTACACCAGTCTACACCCAGTCTACACTCAGTCCCTACTCTGTCTACACCAGTCTCCATTCTGTCTACACCAGTCTACACCCAGTCTACACTCAGTCCTCACTCTGTCTACACTCAGTCTCCACTCTGTCTCCACTCAGTCCCTACTCTGTCTACACCAGTCCACACTATGTCTACACCAGTCTTCACACCGTCTCCCCCAGTATGTCTTGATCACACATAGAGTCAGCTCTCACTTTCTTGAAATGCGTGGCCTCCTGTACTCGCCTCACTGGCTCCATCAGAGCTTCTCTCACCACAGTGCAAATGTCCGCACCTGAGTACCTGGACAACAGGAAAAAACACCCATTATCGGGGAGATAAGGGGTTGTCTTAGACAGTGAGTGGGAAGGGGCCATATGTACAGGTGATTGTCCAAGACAAATGACCGTTTGAGCAGGTTTGACAATATATATTACATATCGCAACAAACAACACAAATGACAAGACAAGTGTATATATCAGAAGACCACTTTTAAAATGGGGACCGTTTATTTATCCACTTTTCTTTGCCTGACACTGATAGTTCAATTCACCACTAATCAAAGTGAAAAAACTCCCTCAACAAACATGACTTAGACAGGGACCAGAGCTCAGTAAATGATTTTCACACTTAGTCTATCTCTATCTCTCTCTCCCTCCCCTTTCTCTCTTTGTTTCTTTCTTTCTCTTTATGGCTGTCTACCTATCTGTTTATCTTCTCCAGCCCTGTATCTCTATATCAGCTCCTATATATATATATATATATATATATATATATATATATATATATATATATATATATATATATATATATATATATATCGTTGCGTGTCACTAAGCCCCCCCCCCCCTTCTCTCTCTCTCTCTCTCTCTCTCTCTCTCTCTCTCTCTCTCTCTCTCTCTCTCTCTCTCTCTCTCTCTCTCTCTCTCTCTCTCTCTCTCTCTCTCTCTCTCTCCCTCTCCCCCCCCTCTCTCTCTCTCTCTATATATATATATATAATATATATATATCCCTCTCTCTCTCCCTCTCTCTCTCTCTCTCTCTCTCTCTCTCTCTCTCTCTCTCTCTCTCTCTCTCTCTCTCTCTCTCTCTCTCTCTCTCTCTCTCTCTCTCTACCTCCCTCTCTCTCACTCTTCCACTATAGCAAGACGGTAAGTTATCCATCAAAAGCACGTCTTTTTTTTTAAAGAGAACTGGAAATTCTTTAAGTTTCTTACACACCCTTTAGTAATTTTCCCCAGCTTCTGAAAGTCTTTGTCTTTCAGTGAGTTAGGTGTTGTTCCGAGATGTATCTGGAACATGTCAGCTCTCGGTACAGCCTCAGGGAGGGGGATATAAATCCTTTTCTCAAATCTGGCGAACAAAAAAAATTAAGGTAAAAAGTGAACATGATAAATAACAACAACAATAATAATGATAATAATAATAGTTGCCCTATATGGGCTGGGGAGCTGGGTGGGGAGGGGAGGGGAAGAGAGTTGGAGATGTATGCACAACATATTTTTGAGTGGTAGCTAAAGTGGGGCCCGCTTAAACTGAAATCTACGGGACCTAGAGGTTACTCACATAGAAGAAAAACAAATCAGGGATTTTCTTTACTTTCGGTTTATCGCGGTTTTTGGATGAACCGTGTTTGGTTTCAGTGGACTGTATTATAAACTCAAAATTTATTTTCTGAATGTAAATAATGAAAAACACCATTTTGAGATGGGTACTACAAAATCATTGTTGCAATTATCATTATAATACCAATAATCAACCAATACAGTGTCAGCTGAATAACAAGAGAAGAACAGGAATTTAACATATTGCAACCTCAGTGGTTTCTTGTCCTATCTCCATTTTTAATAACAGTGAAAATAGTTCATAACAAAGAGTGAGCTTAAGAAGAAGTAAAATTTTAATTGTTTAAAAAAAATGGAGATACGACTAGAAAGCACTGAGGTCGCGATATGTATATCTGAAAGGACAGATTCAAGGCACAACACTCAAGGTGGAGTGTGAACATAGTTGCACTGAGAGTTAACCGCTTCACTGCTGCTCGGCGTACGGTGTACATAAAAAATCTGGCCCTCCTTTGCGCTGCAGACTCACAGTGTACGCCCTGCAATATCGCTATTTTGTTTCGTTGCCTACTCATCCGATAATAGCAAATTTAGTATCGAAAGTGGGTTCCCCTGGAAGCTCTTCTATTCCTGAGTTAGAGAAGCTTTAGTTTGCCCTAATTAGACCAACAATGACCTAAATAGCGTGAATTATAGCGTCACTCTCTCACCATAGTTCTAGCCTCTTACTCTAGCTCCAAACTATGGCTGATCATTCATGATGTATGCTCACAACGTATCAAGCTATCAACGAAAATTTTGCTGCTGCAGATAGTGATTCATTCATTTTCCTTTTAAATGTTATAGACATTGTTAAGCGTTTGATACATTGCCACAGAGTAAATAGCACTTTCAAAGGACCACCAGTTTGAATTGCTCTACCTGGAAAATAGGTCAGCATAGGGCAGGGAATATAGGTCAGCAGTGAAGGGGTTAATGACAATGCGTGAAATCTGACGAGAGAAAACCTGTCTCAAGGACGACTCATACCTTCTACGTATAGCCGAGTCCAGAGACCAGGGAATGTTTGTCGCCCCGAGGACCAAAATGCCGTCGTTGTTGTGACCCACACCTTGCATCTGGACCAAGAATTCCGTCTTGACTCTCCGAGCCGACTCAGATTCGTTGTCATTCCGAGACCCACACAGGGCATCCACTTCATCGACAAAGATGATACTCGGTTTGTGCTTGCGGGCCATTTGAAACAGTGATTTCACTAACCTGGGGGGGGAATTATTGGAAGTGCAATCAAACCTAATCTAACAGTAACCAGTTCAAGACAACCACCTGCACAAACGGCCACTTCACATTGCCCCTCTTGCTTTTTTTTTAAACATTAAAATAGCACTGTGTAAGACAGCAACCTAAACTAAACACCTAATGTTACAGCGTCAGTGTCCGGTAATGCAAAGCTGAAGGGGAAACTGTGCACCGAATTATGACCTCTTTGGAGAGGTGAAATTGACAAATCCTTCCTGAGATAAGACTTTTTTCAGTAGGCTTACATCAAACACACTTTGCTTTTTAAAAAAAAGCAGTATTAACTTTCACCCTGAGAACCGAAGAAGTCACAATTCCTTCACTTTCCATCACAGAATATTGAGCACAGCCTCCCCCCCCCTCCCCCCTCAACTGAATGCTAAGACAGAGAACCAGCACCTTTTCCTCTTGAGAATATCAATGTTGTCTTCCCCCACATACACACACCTCAGCAGAAATAACAAACCACTCACTAGCACTGGACCAAATAGAAAAAGCCCCTTGCATTGCTGGATAAATCAACTCCACCAATAAAAGACGACCAAAAAGATAAATCAAGAATTTAAAGCACAACAGACACCAGATAGTTACTATGAGCTGTCCCGCCAAGAACAAGTGATTATATTCTGACTAAGAACACAACACATAAGACTGAGACAACATATGTACAGATGTTTTAAACTAGTACAATCACCAAAATGCCAGTGTGGAGAGGCGGACCAAACTGTGGAACACATCTTTCAGCACTATAAGACACACATGGCCCTGAGACAGGAAACATGGCCAACCCCACTGACACTACAAGAGAAGCTATACGGGCCGACAGATGGACTGAGCAGGACGGCCCAATATATACGACAGATACCGGACTTCAAGTGTCAATGCGGTTGAAAAGAAGAAGAAGATAAATCAAGACAAGCAACTGATATCTATCTTCATACAAATATTTTTTAATGTTAAGTCAAGGTACTGTGTATCACTACCAAAATTTGATTAAGCTCCCTTAGAATTATATCAACTCACAAAATATAAAAAAAATTGACAGTGCGCAAGACTTACCTTTCACTCTCTCCAACATATTTTGACATTATATCGGCAGATGAGATGGAGAAAAAAGTGGAGTTGTTGGCCTCGGTTGCCACGGCCTGTGCCAAATTGGACTTCCCAGTTCCTGGAGGCTTTGAAATAAAATGCATAATCAATCACTACTAGTTCCAAACCATACTGGTCTCAGTAAAAAGAAAGTTTTTTTACGTTTCACAAAAACAAGATAATTCTTTAAGTTTAAGCAAATAAGAAAAGACCAAAAAAATTACACATTTAAGCTGCTCATATACAACACTCAGTAGGCCAATTAGACTCTGATCGGGACATTACTTTGTTCAAAGATGACATGTAAGCAAATACATATGTAAGAAAATACCGTAATACATTTGTACAACTAAGTCCATGTGTAGCTACACTTATAAGTGTTTTTATTGTTTGTTTTTTTTTTCAGATGAGCTAAGGTATGAGAGAAAAATTAAAACATTTCTGAAACCATAGTTAATTTATTGACATGTTCTACTGGGACGGACTCTGACTCTGTAAGCCATGACAAAAACAATCTTTATTTCCCCAAAACAGCTGTAAAAAAAAACTTGTTTAAAAAGCAAAGAGAATCTTCTCTTACAACAAAGGAGAAGAAATAGCTCAGAGCACAAACTGTTAGTTAAAACTTACTCCAAATAGAAGAATAGCTTTGTAGGGCTTTCTTTGACCTGGAAAACGAAAAACAAAAACAAAGTCAGGAAAATTGAACTGAGCGGAGCAGTTGAATTCTTTTAAGTGAGTACATTCAAAATGTTTGCCATGTTTGTTTTTTTTATAGAGCAAGGAAACTTCCAAATCCTTATTTGACGACTGATGATTTTATTCATTACTGCTCATCTACTTCAGCTCTGAAGAAGGTCAAATCGGTGCAACATAGTCATTGAGCTTCATCTTACAGATTGCACCCCCCTCCCCCCTACCCTTCTCCTCTCAGCAAGCGTGGGATAATTTGGCGGTTGGGTTGGGGTGGGAGGGGGTGGGCGATTGGCCTTGCTGCAGGACCAGTACAGAAGGTTCAACTTAACAAAATTTCATTGATGTTAAGAAAAGCATGAAAACACTTGATAACATTACACTAACCATAATCGTATACCCCATAAGAAACAAGATAGCATACCTGTGAACAACTGAGGAAATTTAACAGGAAGAATAACTGTTTCTTTCAAAGATGCTTTCGCTTTCTCCAGACCAGCAATATCTGACCATTTGACATTAGGCCGGATCATCATGATAGCTCCTGTGACATAGAACCAGGCAGTCAGTAAAAAATCATCATAGAATCAGGCAGTCAGGAAAAATTATCGCTATAAATACATTTAGGTTCATACAATCTAGCATGCATATTGTAAAATAACCACCTGGTGGAACACGCACATAGCATGTACATAGGGAAACACGCATATAGCAAAACAGTGAAACAAGCATATAGTCAGCAGGTCTGATTTTCAGCTCCTGGATGTATTTTTACAAGTTATATTCTTTGACTTTGAAATGCATGTATAAGGGCAAAATTTGTACATAATGAAAAGATTTCCATGTCCCACTTATTTCATTATATGCAAGTTAGACTGTAATTGCACAAAGACTAAAAAAAAATTAAAAATCAGTTTGAACATCTTAAAATCAAAAAGCCTCAAAATTAACTAAGCAATTTCAACAACACAGATAAATACAAGTATTAATTGTCATTCTAAATCACTGGAATTATTTTGCAGTCCAAAGACAGAGCTACGTAACAGCACATTTCATGGCTTAAATGAACAAACTTGTGACGTGTAGCTTTTCTAAAGTTATGAATGATAGTTCTACACATGTCCTATAGTTGTGTGAAAATGTTAAAAGGTCACATTGCCATGGACAACAGGACTGAAATCAGTCACTTATATAGTTTGACCAGTTTTTAGTTTTAGTAGAGGTTTTACGGCGCTCGCAACTGCATAAGGTCACATGAGCGCCAGTACTATTTCAGGTGCAGCTACATTCTCCTGCCTGTGACACAAGAAGAGAGTGAGCAAAACTAAGGGAAGCTTAGGGCTTTTCATGGACGTCTTCACTCCAGTGTTTGTTTGACAAGAGCTTTGTGCACAGTGCACACCATCACAGGCAATATAACACTGGGAGATAACTGGAGATAATATCATTTTCTAAACCTCTGCAGAGAAGAAGCAATAATAAGTGTGGCCTGTCTTACCTGATATCTGGGCTTCATACTTGGAAAACTCTTTGTCATCATTGTATGTGTTATCATTGGGTGCAGCCCTTTCAGGAGTTCTGGGAATGAACATAAGGAGTAATGTTGTTTAAAGTAGAAAGGTCGATACAAATAAAAGGATGAATAATTTCTTAACTTGACTCACATCTCACTGAAATATCGGCTGACTAGAAAATCAAATTGTTGCAAAAATCCTGAATTACAAATACTTAAATACAAGTTTTTGTATATTCGTTCATAAGTATTTCATTGGTTCAGTAACAACATAACACCTTCATGGTGAGTGGGACCTTGAACCCATTAAAAATATATATTTGTGGGTTGGGATATGTATGTAAAATTCAACTACCCCTCAAATCTAGCTTGGAAAGTGCCCAGAGTGAGAGAAAAAAAATGGATGTAAAATCAATCAATGGAGACATACGTACCCTCCTGGAACATCCTTAGGTTCTCCGGCATCTTTGGCGGCATCAGACGATTCTGCTTGTGAACAACTGCTGGGGACGGCCGTTTTGCTTTTGGATTTACAGTCCAGGTAACTCTGAATTCTCTCTGCTCTTTTTAGATAATCTGTGCACTTTGAACGAATGCTTTCCTTGGCTGATTCACTTGAAGCTTCATCTGTTAAGACAGGAATGAAACATACTTAAATGACTGCAGTAAATATAACAAGATTGATGACTTTTTTATGATTAAATAGATGAAAACAGTGCGAAAATGATGAGAAGGGAGGGAAATGAAAGAAAAAGTGAGTTTGGGCTGCTTTCTCAGTATCAAGTCTTTTTGAGTCACAACACAGTGGAATCAGTTTTGGGGTGTATTGAGTGATTGGTATCATCATAGGAATAGAGTATGAGGTTATTGATATTATCTTAAAATAAAGTATGTTCATTTGTCTTACTTTATGTGAAAAAAACATCCATCTATCATGAATACAAGTTGAAATATTTGCAACAGACGGAGTGGGGTTGCCTGGTGTCAGAGGTAAAGTTAGTGAAATAATGGCTGCCAAAGTTTCGTTACTTCCAGAACTTGAGAGTCTTTGGAAACTTCTAATTTACATTTTTTGTGCCTTTGATCAACCCTTTTCTGTAAATCCACACAAAATGTGTTTTTAAATGGACATAAAAGGGGGTCCTGCCCCCCCTCAAATTGGATAAAAATAGTCCAAAGAGTGTAAAATGTTGGTTTCTTCAATTTCATTATTTTGATGAGCTGATTTTATATCAGCATATACCACACTCATAGATCTCTACACTGACAGCATCAGACTTGAGTAGGGCTAATTTTGTTGTCAAAATACACATGTATGTGTTTGTTTCATAAATGTGACAGATTTTCAGTCAATTTTGTCGGTCATCCAGTTTTATAGTCATATTGCAGTTTTTATGTGTTTTCTACACTTTTGGAAGCTTTTACAATATTTAAAATTTTGAGCATAAAACTTTGAACATCATTTCTACACATGACCTTCCACTCAAACAATTTTGAGGGGCTCTCATGACCTAGAGGTTAAGGTGTTCGCCTCTCATTTAAAGGTAATGGGTTCGAATCCGGGTATAGCAACGAAAACATTTTCTTCTGTAAAATAGTCTCCTTTCACCTCCTTTCCTGCTCTCTAACAATGTTCTGTCATCTACTTTTGTCTCCACCTTCTGCCCCCACCCCCTCACCTCCTTTGCCCTCTCCTCTGGGCTCCTGCGACTCTTTCTGCAGCCTTTCTACAGCTTTTGGCTCCTTTTTACTGCCGTCTTTAAGACATACCCCTGATCTTTTGGTAGGTAAATTCTATGCCGCTAGCCTTCTCGACAAGGGTAAAAAATCTCGGAGGTCCAGTGTGCGCAAGTTGCACACGTTAAAGATCCCTTGGTGGCCCAGATCCATAGGCTTCAGCCACCATCTGGGCAAAATTCAAAATTTCCTATCAACTGAAAATATTTGGTGTGTCCCGCATGCTAACAATTCATATATATGACCTTATGCAGTTGTGAGTGCTGTAAAACACCCAAAAACAAACCCCCCAAAAAACAAAATTTTTCAATTTCCCAAAGTCAAAACCACAATAAAGCCTCTAGCAACATCCATCTCAGACTCACACTTTATGGCGTGCATAAAGTACTGCACAGCAATCTTGTAGCAGCTCAGCGCTTCCTTGTAGTTTTTCTTTTTGTCCTCCTCCGTCGCCTTCTTGGTGATGTATATGGCTTTCTATGAACACAAACAGTTTACACAGAATTCATGACTTAACCAAAGCACATACAGTTTACATCAATAATAGGCTAAACTTAATGATTATGTAGATCTAAATATAATATAATATATTATATTTCCTATGATTTTCTTTTCTCAAAAAAGACTGAGGGAGAATGAGAACCAGACATATAGACTAGATTAGGCCTATATGTATGTATGAGATTTGAGAAAATCACACACTTGGAAAGTACCGTGGCACTCACGTTAAGTTTGTAAAATTGTTATACTTGGCGTCATAATATTAGGGCTATGATACTGTACAACAAAACTAACATCCAGATATTGGCCTTTCATGCTTCCGCTACTACTGGTTACACAGCGTCTCTGTCTCTGAGAAAACGTCTTTGAAAGTAGATCTAGAATCTAGATTTCTAGATCTAGTCTTTGTCTATAGTAATCTATCTAGATCTAGTACTCTGCACTTTGTCGAAGTTATCCCATCTACGTCGTTGCTTGAACTAAAATAATGATAATCCACAGTATGTTTCGTTCGATCATATGACGGAATAGCAACACTCTAATTATATTTCTTTCGTATTATGTCCCAAATATAGCCCGGGTTCTTCTGATCACGTTCGTTTGAGTCATCGGGGTAAAATTATGAACGGCCGTCAGAAAATGAAAACCCGATTGCTAAACTTAGCAGTAGTACCGAGGGGTGTAACCCAAGACCCAGTAAGACAAGACGGGACAACTCTTCTTTACGTCATGTGACAAGCACAGGCCCCTCCCACTTTGCCAGATGCGCGTATAACTCGCTGGGCTGGCGATAGTTTACATTGGTTACAATGCAAGGCTACTGATCATCTCGGGCGGTATGTCTAGCCCAGGCCTACTAAAATTAAAATATTTTAGCCCAGAGAAAGTATTTAATTAATAAACATAGCCTATCTAGATCGAGATCTAGAAACTAGGATCTAGATCTAGATCTAGATTTAGATTCTAGGATCTAGATATATCTAGATCTAGATCTAGATCTATATCTAGATCTAGATCTAGATCTAGATTCTAGTTCTAGAATCTAGGTCTAGATTTTGTTGTGCAACCAGCCAAGAGTGCAGTTCGGAAAGTAGATCTATAATCTAGATCTAATCTAGATCTAGATATAGATTTAGATTCTAGATCTAGGTCCCTAGTGGTTGGCGAATGACCGAAGTGTCAGAAGGGCGACTCTTGACTAGCCTAGGCTAGGCCTAGACTACTTGCCTGTGAATTGGCGGAGACACACTAGATCTATCATGCAACTTGATTCATACTATCATATCAACAGTAGATATAGATCTAGAAATCTAGATCTACTTAAGCTTCTGTGCTTGTTTCAATGGCTTCTTTTTCGGCGCACCTGTACAATTATATGTTCCCGTTTAATGTTTACATGACGGCCATTAGTGTCACGAGGCAGTGAATCTAGAATCTAGATCTAGATTTCTAGATATCTAGGCTAGATCTAGATCTAGATCTAGATATCTAGATTCTATAGATAGCTCCTAAGCTCCGTATAATCTATTTCTAGATCTAGATATCTAGATCTAGAATCTAGATTAGATCTAGATCTATAATTTTAATTCAGTTTAGACATTAGATCTAGATCTAGAATCTAGATACATGTATCTTACAGTATCTATATACCTGTATCTATAATCTAGGCCTAGATCTAGATCTAGATCTAGATCTAAATAAGAAACACCGGGCACTTAGGACTTGCGTGATTTAGTGCAAACGGGACCGTTATTGTACAGGAGTGCTATTAAATTGTTTCTGAACTTCAGTTCATGATAATTGATTCTGAAATTGGGGAACAGCTCGCTGTGTAGGCCTAGTTAATCTAGATCTAGATCTAGAGTCTAGACTCTAGATCCTGCTTGAATAGCTTCAAACAGTCCCACAGCTTCTGACCTTCGTACAAGCAGAAGGAAATATATGGCTTTAGAAAGCCTTCACTTTTGTGGGGCAATTATATAGATTTTAGATTCTCCTTTTTCTCAAAGTCTTAGAATAGCCCCATATGACTGGAGACACTTTCCCAAGAAAGTACCCACTGCTGTATGTGACAACATTTTCAAACTGCACCAGGTAATCTACTTTCAGTGACTTGATGGGGTTAGTCATTGGTGGCTGCTCCTCTTTTTAGACTTTATATTATGAGCACACATACACATAGGTGGTGCAATGTTTGAGTTATATAGGCCTAACTACCTAGAAGCAAAACTGAAAGGAAGTGGTCAATGTCATTTTTACAGTTCATACCAGGACTGGTCAGAGGACTTTATTTATCATTATTAGGCAAAAAGTATGTGCAAAAATCTTGGGGGTAGGGGTAGGATTGTCTCTAGTGATTGCTTTTTTCCTTTGATAGCTGCAAAAAGGTTTACAGATTTGGCATGTTGCTGAATAAATACTTACCACCACCCTTTCAGTTTCCTTGACCAGAATCAAAAGGGCTTGAATTATTTGTATCCAGTCTTTATTAATGCTAGGTAGGGTTTTTGATGTGTGTTTTTTCTGTTTGTTTGTTTGTTTGTTTTATTTTTTATTTTATTTTGGGGGGGTTTCATTGCCATATTTCAAATTGTTTCAACCAACCAATGTTATATTTCAAGAGGGGAATGTGGGGTGAAGTTGGTTTGATACAATGCTTGTAAATTGCAGATGACTTGTTTGTATTTGTAGTGAAGCATTGAAGAAACTGTCAAACCTGCTATGAAAAGGGATGTGGCAGAAACAGATTTATTTGGCAGAGGAATGCCATCCTAGCAGCAACTTAATTGTGGACCAGTACATGAGCTACAACAGCTGCAAAAACAGAATCTTTCAATACATAGAATTATACTATTTGTGAAGAATGGTGTGATGATTTAATCAACACATTATTATGAGTGGCATTTATATAACTATAACATGAACAACAGACACACATGCATCACATTCACTGGCACAGTATAGACAACAAAGTTATAGATTATAGTGACCACTAAAAAAAGAATTTGTTTAGTTTTTCTTCCTCTCAATATTATGCTTTTCTCTAATTAATAGTAGGCCTACTTTATTGAAGGGTTCTCATACTCAGAGTCATAGAGTCTAGTATTGTTGTTCTTTTTATTGTTGTTCATTCTTTGATGTGATATAACTAATAATTATAATCTAAGCATTCCAGAACCATGGATTTGACAGCTTACCCCAGTTAGCCTTTCCAGTGACATAGAGTCTCCATTCTACATGATGTGTATCACTTTGTTTTATTTTGATTTCCAAATGAAATTCAATTTTGTTTTAAAACGTAGGCTGTAGTATAAGTATAAGTATGGGCGCCTATATATTAGTTAGGGCCTACCTTGTTAACAAACACAGTGTGATGAGGTTTTGCTTCTATTATCCAGTATATATAAACATACTTTTAAAAATTTTATAGCTTATTCTTGGCTAGATAAATGAACAAGAATTTTTAAAAAGAAAAATTTACTTGTGAAAATGATGTTTGAGATTGAGGAATTTCCATGTTGTAAAAGAGCATGAGTCTTTCTAGGCCTAAGTCCTTTTGTGGTGGTTTGTTCCTTTCTAGAGTACGGGGATTGGGAACTTTGAACAACACAGGTATGGCTGTATTGCACCTTCAGTTGGTTTACCTTAGCACCAAGAAACTAAGAGTCCGCAAAGTACCCAAGACTCAGAGCAGAGAACTGTCTCAGAAAAGAGACATTCTTGTGACTTGCTCAGCAGATCTTGTCTTCACCCTCGTCTGGCACCTCGGACCGTATCTTTAGTTTTTAAAATATCCAATCTATTGTATAGCCTATTCTGTTAGTAGAGAACAGTTCATTGCAGAGCACCACTGGCTATTCTGTCGTTTTTAAACTGTAATATCTAATGTACTTCTACCGTTTCGTAAACTCCTAGATCTAGAATCTAGATCTAGATCTAAATCTACATCATCATGTCACTGAACATGTTCAACTCACTACCGCTTTCCGTTCATTAAAATCTTTTTTCCCAACTCACTATATTCAAAATGTGAACGAAAACCAGTCAAAATAAATACCAAACAGTTTATATGATTTTTAAAAAACCCAAGGCAAAACTGCCATTATGAAATTCAAAGTAGGTTTAGGCATCTATTTCAGCGTCAGCGAGTTGAACAGTGCGCTCGATCTTTCTTCCTGTTGTTTGTTTACGCTTTAAACGCGCATCTAGTTGGTTACCAAGGGGAGCCAGTTGGAACGAAAATGAGGCTGTTGTCCCGTCTTGTCTTACTGTGTCTTGGATGTAACCCAAGACACAGTAAGACATGTAACCCAAGATGTAACAATTATTTCTTAAAATACAATGTTCAGAACAGGAGTGGTGTCCCCTAGAGGGACCCCAGCTTAATGGGGACCCCTTCTTTTTCTTATTGTTGAGTCTCGGAATGTTGATTTTGAGTTTTGCAACGAACATACCTTTTTCGATGGTCGATGAGCAATCATATAAACTTAAAACTTCAAATGCATAGATTATATACTTTTCGAAAGAAGAAAGGTGGATACTTATCTATACTCTATAGATAGTATTTGTGAAAGTTCGTCACTTTGGCCGCCTAAAACTTCGGAACCACATAACTTTCGAATTTGACAAAATTAAAGATGTTTCAGAATTATTTAAAGGATGCACAGTTCTATTGAGGAGCCTGAAGTCACTAACTGTAGTTTAATTTACAGTTTTTCCTTAGTTTCGTTTAGATCTAATCTTGGGAAAGTCCGTCTTCTAATCTAAGACGCCATTGTAAATCAGTGAGGTTTCCGTTCAATAGTCATGCGCACTGTTTCCACACCTTTGAAATTCTGGGAATGTACAACCACGAAAGCGGAATAGAGAATCAATCTATACATCACCATATCTAACCCTTGTAAAAAAAAAAATTTTATCTCTCAGGATTTATTGCTCCATTCCAGTAGAGTGTAAGTTTTATATAGTAGGCCAATGACTTTTAGTTGATGTCAATGCACCGATCATTCCTTTCACCGAAAGGGGGCCCAGCTGTTTCAATATATTATGGGCATGGTAGTCCATTCAGATAGATTCTATACACAAACATATTGTGTACATGTATTACTCTTTGGTATTACATATCTCTAAAAAGGTGATAACTCTATGACTACATAGCAGAATAATGCAACATTCCAGCAGAAAGACCAAGATACTCCATAGAAATTATCTCCACTCAAGAATCGAACCCTGGTTTCCTATGTGTGACAAGTGAAGCGCCAAACCGCTAATCCAAAGACTCCGATGTATCATGTTTGTTTAAACATTCAGATTTTCCTTTCAGAGAAATGGGGAGATGCGAGGCTGGGCAGGACAGAGATACCCGATGAAAAATTATGTCATATTTCGTAATCAGCGCCTCAAAATTAGCAGTCTTCGCTTTACTAAGCTAAACCGCCAGTTAAAATGCATATTAACAATTTTACTTTGTTGTTGTTGGTGTTATTATTATTCATGGTTTGATATTCCCATTTAACCTTTGACCTGTCTACATAATAAATAACAAAAAAGTGCAGGCCCA